GAATAACAGACATCCAAGAAGAAGGAGACTGTATCAGTAACTGATACAGTACTTACTAAGATTGGAGCTGGAGATCAGGATCACTAAAATCTGTCCAACAAGGACGTACTGTGTGGTCTAGATGAGATTCTCATTTGCAAGCTTCTGAATCTGACTTTTATTATAAGAAATTTGCCCTAAAAATAGTTAGCTATGGCAAGGCAGACAGTATGCTTTGCTCAAATAGCTATAACAACACATTAAGGAAACATAAAACTGTATTTGTCCAAAGCAGGACTTGTACTCATAATGGAGCAAGGAAAAGTACTGCACACACTGGATGGGACACCAGTCCATTGCAGGGCAGATAAGGCACAAACACACACATACTCACACCCAGGCCAATTTCCCAGAAGCCAATACACCAACCAGTATCTTTTGGACTGTGCATGCAAAAAGTGGGAGAACATACAAACTCCACACAGATAGCACCCCAGTTCCAGAATTGAACCCAGCGCCCCAGTGCTGCAAGGCAGCAATCCCACTCACTGCGCCACAGCATACTTACAATGTGGTAAAAACCTTTAAAGACAGAGGGTCAGAATGACACTGATCTGGGTCAAGTCCAAGACCTATGATTCAGAGAGACAACTTGACTCCTTCACACAAGCTACAGTATGCAATGTGATTTTCAAGTTGAATTAGACCTTGTGTGCTGTAGAAGAGAGTTCATGGATAAAAACTGGGAATCCATCAATTTAATAGCAAACATGGAGATTCCCATTGTGGTGTGGAGGATTATGGAGTTTAATTGGGGAATCACAGCCTTATTCCCAATATGACAATCACATTAGGAATCAACATTCCAAACAAAAGCATCTGTGCTTTTGAAAGCTTAAGTTTTTTAATAGTTGGGAATAAGAAGCAAACCTGTATGTTTTTTTTTTTATCATGAAGATGATCCCAGGACTGACTTGGTCTATTCCTTTCAAGGTTTTGATAGCTGGACATTATCTTATCTAATCTTCTGTGTCTCAGGCTAAAAAGATTAAATTCTCCTTATCTGAGTAGAACTTTTTTTTCATTACAGAAACTAGTCCGGTTGCTCTTTAAAGTACTAAGAGGTATGATGAATTTCTTATTATGGATCACTAAACTTACAGAAATCAAATCTGTTTTCCTATTTATTTTGTTCAAATACGTCTTACCTTTGCTCTTTTGCTCAATCATCTGTGGCAGAATAGCCTTTAGGTCTATAGTGCCTAAACGAATGCTCACAAGCTTGAAATGCAAACTAATGCAAAGCCTGATGAGACATTTGGGCATGTTACAAAGAATGTAGCATATAAACAGGAGGTGAAACATTTACTGTACATTCTCTCTAGAAACTGCTGTTACAAACATCTACATCCCATTTCTCTCTGTATCAATCAAAAACAGAGACACACTTGTACAAGGTTGGGAATAAAAACAGAATTTAATTTGTTTCACAATCCAGGGCTGACAAAAACAGGTAGACTGATCTATTACCACATGGAAAAACAGAGAAAAACACAAATATAACTTGTCCATCCCCAGAAGCTCCAAGTCCTATTTGCTGTCCTAGAGACAATGATGACACACATAAATAATGAAGCGGATTTGGTTCTGTGTGCCAATGGCAGTGGATGGCCAAAGGCACAGAAATTGATCTGATTGATGCTGATGTCCCTAACAATGACTTTAACTGGAAGGAAATCAATAGCATCTCAAAGGACTCATACTGTTAGGCCAAAGCTGACATTTACTTATTTTCATTTGTCGCTTGTGACATTAACACCAGCTAAAGTACTGCCCACCCACCCTTCTCTATTCAAACCCCCTGCCAAATGGGCAGAAGGTAAGACAGCATGAGCCTCTCAATGGTCATCTCTATTCTTGCAAAACAAACACGCTCTCAGTGAATGCAGGTGAATGGGGATGAGTTAACTCTTCATAGGCTTGAGTCGCAGTCCTAACAGAAGTCCTATCTCCCGTTGACAGTTCAGATTTAAGCGGTTCACAAGGATCTTTTTTTTTCCCGCACACACCGCCCCAGTGTGGAATTGACAACTGTTAATCACCACGACAAGCCCTTAACCAGAGCTGGTGAGATAAAGTTTGCACACATCTTCACTTCCAACCTTTTACGAGCAGGCCAGCCTCAGTTTTTCACACTGTGAAAATAGTCGTCCTCAGCTTTCTTCTCAGAAGCTGCAGCTGTTGTGATTCCTTAACTGTGTCCCTGACATGGTGTCTATTCCTGGTAAAGACTCTTGTTATTTGTGTCTTACCCACATAAAAAGCCACTATTTTTTCTTTTTAATGTTATTTCTAATTGATCTTTAGATAAATACACATTTTATGATGTCCAAATAAAAAATTAATTGGTGTGCTTTACAATTGAGTGCGAGAGAATACTTTTACTTTTTTGACTGCTGTTTTGAAATTTCTTTACAGTGACATTCAGGCTCAGCCATTCGTGCATTTGAAGAAACAAAGAATAAGGCTGTTATACAGTATGTTGCTGTCTTTTCAACATTCACAATGTTCGAGAAATTTTTCTAAGTGTTTTTAGTCTTCAAGGTTTCATCTGCCAACCAGACTGTGAAATTAGCTCATTTAGCCAAGCTGTGAATTAATTGGGTGTTGCTAAAATCATATCGGACTCCACTTTACATATTACTCAGCATTAAGAAAAATTTCCATATATTTCAAATCAGTGCTGGTGTCTGTGACCAATATCAATGTATCACAGACAGTGGATTGCTCAAGGTAATTTTGTGTTGTGTGGCAAGAATCTGGGCACCTGCAGGGTTTATGACTGCATGATCACGGGCATTTCTGATCAATACTGAATGCAAAGCACGCAAAGCACGCAACTGGATGAACAGTCAGTAAAAGTACTGTATACATGTATCTCAACCAGAGATACAGAAATGGCACAGTTGATCATTTCACGGTGAAAACAAACCAATGAGGTGCTAAAGGTTCAAACATTTAAGGACCTCAAGATGCTAAAAGCAGCTCATATCATTCATCTAATCTATATACCTTACAGGATACATAAGACATTCATACAGTATGTCTTGTCAGGATGAGTTCTATAGAGATGTTTCCAGCTCATACTTTGTGAGTGACACTGGCATTTGCACAGCTAACTCCTTGCGCTCAGGGTGTGATCAGCCTCCATTAATTTCCCAATCAGGCTCACCCCAATCATCTGGTTGTGTTCTTTACTTAAGGTCAATTCCATGCCTGTTTAGTACTCCTACGCTGAGCCAACGCTCAGTGTCAATTCCTTGAACTGAAGAGCTATTTTATTTATTTATTTCATAGCCGCCAGAGCACTGAATAGGCAGGGAATTCCCTTTTCCCCTTGAGCTGTACTTCTTCTGCTCTGCAGCAAGTCCGTCCCAGAAACTAAAGCAAACCTCGTCTCCCCCAAACTCCTCTGATTCCCTCTGAGCCCCTGCACTTGGACCTCAGCTTGCCATTCAAGCCAAGGAGCCCAAATAAGACCAACTAAGCACTGGATGGACATCTGTCCATCACTGATTCAACAGACAGTTCGACAAAAATCGTCAGAAATGTTCTTTTCCAGCTGTATGTAACATGAATGGTACATTTTCCGATAATAAGACTACACCACCAAAAGTCCAGATTGTCCTTCACAGCATGATATTATTCACTCTACGTCTAGACACAGTTTAAATGGTTTGTGACCTATGTAAATATGCTGCTTATTGCTCATGACGTAGGCTATCGATGTCAACTTGTGGTATAAGCTGGTATAAACAAAATGTAACCTGGTACTTGGAATTTATAGTTAAATATTTGTAATAAACACCTGATTTGTGAATGGAACTTTTCAGCAAGCCAGTGCAGACATATTTTAGTGCAATTGCACTTTTGGTCCTCTTTCTTAGCAATAGAGGTTCCACAGACTCTGAGAAACCCTGTAATGTTGGATGGCCTGGAAAAATCACAGCCTGGCACAGATTTGGCACCAACTTGACTGGCTGAGGGAAACACAGCCTGACCATTGCACAGAGCATGATGGAACTTCCTCAAAAGCCAGAAAACGAAAAGGAGCTGCTGCACAGGCATGAACCAGCAAAGATTGAGACAAGTGGCACCCATTTTGTAGTCATAGTCAGGTTTTCCTTCTCTCTCTCTGCCTTTATGGAAGTGGATTCTGGGCCCAGCTGCAGCCAGGCCTTCTGATTGGAAGTCACCCCAAGTCTAGATAAGTCACAGACTCACGCCACCCCAGAAAGTACTTCAAGTGTGCAGCAGAATATCCAGGTCCTGTGGTATCAGCATGGAGAGGACAGTGCACAAGCTCTGCTGTTTTCCAGCCAGATAGGAAGGCTACAGAAGGACCGTGTCTGTGGCATGTTTTAAAAGTGTTGTGTGAAATCAGCGAGTGCTGGGTCTTATCGGAGATGGTGTGAAAAGAACATAGCCCTGGGACCCAACAAGTCGAGCCAAACTGCACATTCTGTGTACTGCTCAAAGCCTCTTTCCCCTAGCAGGCAAACACACTGACAACCCCTCTCCTGATTCATAACCCATGCCAGGACCTGAGATGGCGTTGATCAACGAGGGCAACCAACCTACGCGTCCAGCATACATGCTATTTGATTGGAGAGCAGACACAACAATGGAACAGAAATGTCTTCACGAGACTATGACTGGAACATGCTCTCAAACAAATGGATTAACTATGGGGTTTTACACACACAGTGGTAGTTTAAACCAACTAAAGAAAGTGACAGCATCTCAGACATATCTGATGACTCTGTGCCAACCCAGACACCCATCTCACCCCCACCCCAAAAAAATAAAAAAGGTCTGATCTTTGCTAAGAAAGTCGTGTCCATGGCATCACTGTCAATAACACAGTAGATATGACTGATGATGTTTAAAATAAAACTGGCTGCAGCGAACAGAGACCCAGACACAAGATGAAATGAGCCACAGGCATTAGAATTACGTACATTGTCTGAAGCAGTTTCTGATACGTGGCTGTTAGTCTTTACAGAGGAACTCCATAACAATCCAGATCAGGCCCCATCTATTTGAACAAAGCAAAAGAGTTGGATGTTGAAAAGTTTTTTAAAAAGTAAGGCAAATCTGTAGTTAAAACAAAGCTCCTATTACCCATATAGCTTTTATAACATATTTTCTATATTAAAGAATGAAGGAGGACAGAAGGGTCTGTCTCTTTAATGTCTTGTGGTATCATACATTGCTTTGCATGCTGTAGATAACTGCATGACATTGATTCCAACTTTTTTCTTGTACCTCTCTTAACAATATATGTAACTAGAATAATTTACATACATTATATATGATATGATGTCACTTTACACAGCCATTGTGTAGTTTATATTAACAGCACAGCAATTGCTCTGATTGTGGATTTCAGAAGAAAATTAAAAATGCTACAGGACACCTTGAATATATCATTGTACAGTTAACTCCGCCTACACCTATATCATTTAAATTTAAAAATATTCTCTAGCTTTTAAATCTATTAATTGTATTAAAATGGGTATTAATCCAATAGGTTTCTAATGCTTTTGCTTAATGTGCTGCAGATCATGTCATGATGTCATGAAAGGTGCTACTGTATATACACAAAAGATTATATAAATACAATGTTATCCAAGTCACCTTTTATAGAGAGATCACTAAATAATTTACAACTGTATTAAAAATACAACATTCAGAATTCTGTTAAAGAACTCAATTGCATATGCTTTCTTCTTCAGATTGTGCAACATAGACGTAATTGGATGGTCGTCTTCTTAAGAGATATTAAATCTGCCTGGACGTGTCACAGTGAGAGAGTGGGATGACAAAAAAACGAAGTCAAGAAAAGAAAATCAATTGAAACATCCTGGGCATCACAGCCTGAAGCTCAAAAGCCTCAAAAGGTGGGATTGACTAGGCATCTATGCTGTCGGGTTGCATGTCTTCCTAGCGGCATGAAAATCAAATAAGAGTAGAAATACTCACTCCTGGGTCTCCAGGTACAGGGTGACATGGGGATTCGCTCTGCCTTATTGATCAAAATGACAGCTTGATTTAAAGCTTTGATGTCCCATCTGATTATCTGAAAGCCTGCAGAGCTGTGATTGCCCAGGAACAGAAGCAAGAGGGATTTCATCGCCAGAGTTTTCCATATCAAACTCTTCTGAACCCACAAGCGGCTCATCCCCTGATATTGGTCTCTCATTCCAGAGTGTTGACGGGTCCCAGAAATCCCGGGTGGTGTTGTGTGGTGGTGCTGACTTTGTCCGGCAGTGTCCGGTCATACTGTACCACCAACCTAGCTGAGGACGCCGGCACTGCAGGAGCAGGTTGGCCCAGCAGGGGGCACCTCTAACAATAAAACTCAGAAGGCATTTCTGTGATTGACTGCGCACCTACAGTATATGCTTGGTTAATATCAGGGCTACCTTCCTGTTGGCAATGCAGCACTGCTACTTTCAGTTATCTGATTGACGGTTAATATCCGTCATATTCAAGGAATTACTCTACTACTTACAGTACACGTTTGGGAGCATGAGGACTTGGGGATAGTGAAGAATAAGAGAATAAAGAAACAGAAGGGGTAGTTGAGCATTCTATAAAAATTAAATTAAAAAAATGTAATTATTTGAGACATACTACTTCTAATTAACACGATTGTTGTGTTTAGCGAGTTGTATAGATAAAGGGTTTTTATACTTTTCATGCAACAGAATCTGGAAAATATTCAACTATTTCTCCTTAGATGTATTCCTGATTTCCCAGTAGATTTCACAAAGACTAGTCTGTTAAAAACAAACCCCTTCCAACATTTGCTATGTAAATGACTTTGGTTTGATCTTTTTTAATCAAGCATGTCACTCTTGCATCACATATCCAGCCTGTATTATGTTAGATGGATTAAAAGCAGCTTCATACAAATTATTTCAGATATCTTTACAAATATCACATAGTTTGCATGTAAATACTAATTAAGAAATTTTAAATCGGACAGCTTCACGATCATTTTCTTTCATGTTTTCCAAACAATATTGGATTCTTGAAATGGAGAAAGAGTTAAATATCTTTATGTTCATCCAGATCTTTCCTTTGTATAATGTTTTTTTAATAAAGGTTTTCATTGAAGATTCCCTTACACCATCACAGCCCCATGTGGGGCTCCAGATAATCTGATACTAGCAAATAAAAAACGTTGCTTGTGAATTAAGGCAGATGAAAAACAGGGCCTGTGAAGGTTTTTAAATTGATTTTTTTTCAATAATCCAGAAATGTCACATCTCTCAAGCAATTTATTGTGCAATATTTTTTTTATTTCAGTGCTGTACATAGCAATCTCCTCCTGCCAAACCTATATCCCCAGAACAACAGCTTTAACCTAAATGCCTCCTAACAATTTAGAAGTGTTTAGCTCTTTGCTTATAAAAAGAAACCACTTAACGAGGAATTGTGTATATCCTGTATTCCACTTGATAAACTGAGCTGTGCTTTACGAACATTTTGACAAAGTTGCCCATCACTTCAATATTTATAAAACCAGTAAAAATAAGAGACACTGGATTCAAAACTAAAATTTGTATTGTTGAATTTCAGAATCTCCTGTTTAGCCAGAGGAGAAGCATGGCATTACAGAGGGTATTCTGATAAGGTCTTTACTTTGATACATATCCAGTGTTTAGATTTCCCATTTAAAGCAGAACTTCAGGGGTTAATTAATTCACCTGATGGTGTCCTGATGCCATCGCAGATCGTGGAACACTGACGCCATGCCAGTCTTGCCCATTATGGACTAGTATGTAACACATGAGCTCAGAAATCTGGGTGTAAGACTGCAATACAGCTCCCCTGATCATACCGGCAGCACATCCAGATTAAAGAATTCAAATTAAAAATAACTCCATGGTGCTGAACAGAATGTGCAGTTTAAAGCCCACAGCTGATCGCCATGCAGATGATAAATAAAGTCTCCTACCTGTTGTGATGTGGTTTAGGCTGGTTTCTTTGTGCTCGTGTCTCCTCTTCTCCCGTCCTCGGCCTCTGTGTGCGAGGAACAGCCTACCCTGGGAGAACGCGCCTGGGTGGCTTGTTCTGAGAGGCAATAAACAGAAAGCACGTGCGTCTGTGGTGATGCGGCAGGGGAACTGACGAGTGTGCAGACTCCCCCTGCTCTGTGAGGCTGGAGATGAGAGGGAGAGAGAGGGAGGGAGGGGAGAGAGAGAGAGGTGGCTACTTCCACGAAGAGACCTAGACTGCGACAGGCAGCTCTCTGGCACCGGTCTCAAACGAATCAGGGAGATGAAAGCAGAGCAAAAAAAAATAACACCCACACAGGCACTTAGGAGTGTTTTCATTATAAAATGGTTTAGGTGAAAATTTTTGTGCATGTCTAACACCCCCCCCCCAGAGTTAATTATAAATTAGCCTGTCTTTCACATTTGCTGCTACAATACTGTACCTCATTCTCCCCTCGAGTTCTCCATCTGAGATCATGTTTCTCTGTGATTTCTACTAAAAGCTCATTTTTCTGCCCTCGTGCTGAATATCTCACTAGATTGTTAATTGTGAAACAGCAGTTTCGTGCTGGCGATAGTCTCCTTGCTTTTAAACTCCTATTGGTATTGTTGCATGTTATGTAACATGCATTTGAAACTAGAATTGAGACTTGTTAGGCCTCAGGCCCTTCTGGGGCATGCTAATCTTGCAGCAGCATCTTTATGTTGATATATCTCCGTCTATGACACACTGCTACCAAGTTTTAAACAACAAGGAACCTGAACACCTAAAATATTTACAGCAATTTTTTTTTTTGCATGAGAAATAAGACACTTATAATCATAATAATGAAGTCTACATGAAGTCAGCATTTTTGTGACTTTTCATTGTACCTGAAAAAAAAAACATTAATCTATGTTGGTCATTCCACAACTCTGGAGTTCTGGAGGCATTTTTTTAAAACACACAGTACAGAGGGATTGATCAAGACGCCTCTCCTGGAAGTTACTGTGGCTTTTCTGTATTTGCACAGGCAGACTCAACCCAGGGCTGTTTTTGTTCTCCTTTCCCTGAACAGATTGAGGTAAGCGGAGGCAGCCCTGATCAGATCGGAATCTCGCTCTGGAGAGAATGGTACATCTGAGCTAACAGGTAGGCAACAGGAGAGGAACGGGAGACACATCCAGCAATGCACTGTGTAGAGCTCTGGCCTCAGGCCACAGGCCAAAGCTCACCCACCTGCCTACCTGCTCATTTTACTTCACCCCATAACCTACCCTTGTTCGCAAATAAGCACAACTCAACTGAGAACTGCAAATGTAGAGCTGTGATGGAGACAAAGATGATTTCTCTTGGGAAGGAAACCATCTTGGCTCAAACCCAGGCACTCTTGAGCCAAAATGGCTGCCGAGTAACTAATAATAATAATTGTTTACACTTATATAGTGCTTTTCTGGACACTCCACTCAAAGCGCTTTACAGGTAATGGGGACTTCCCTCCACCACCACCAATGTGCAGCATCCACCTGGATGCACAAATAGACAGAGCTGCTGAATCCGAATTCGAATTCACCTGGGATGAATGAGTGAATCTTGGATGTGCTCTGAGTGTAAGGAATTTTATGTGAAGGAAAAGAACTCTCTCTGTAAACTGCCACGGTTAATGGTACCCAAGAGCCTTAGAAGAGAGTAGCCTATAAAGTTAAGCCTGCATCTAAGAAGGAACAGCACATCAAATCAGCTGCTGTAATGTCAAGGGCGCCTGTACTGTTGTGGAGGTGTATCCCTGAAGAAATGGGATCATCCAGAATGGAGAATGAATGAAGGCTCCATAGCCAAGCATTATGTAGTTGTTGAGTTCCTGATCTTGGGACTCAGCAAGCTTTACAAGACATAATGAATTCTACTGGGTGATGTATCACAAGTCCTGGATGGGCAGGTTGCACGCTAGCCTGTCCTAATGATGAAGACAAGTTCAGGAGCAAGCAAGTCTGATTCTGTTGTTCTTTATAAGGAAGAACAGTCATCTTGGCTCAAGGCTGCAGTCTTGTCATTCTCTTTTGTTCAAATTTACTGGTTAGATCAACAAAATCAAACTGGTTGGTTCTGTCAGGCTGGTGTTAGGAGGTGCAGTGATAAATGCTCACAGCCAGGAGGCAAGAGGCAGATGGACACAGACTCCTGCGCTGGGAACCAGTTAGGCATAACAACCCCACAGCTGTTTCTTCAAAGCCCAAGGGCAGGACAGAGATAAGGTCAACATTGCTCTTGGATTTGGTTATCTTAAGTTAAAAATAAAAGCGCCTGCACAAGCTGCCCTCTGCATGACGGACCTGTTGTGGACATGAGCCTGTGAAACTGCTGATCTGATCCAAGGGCTGTGAGCAGAAGACACACCCCTCCACAGAAAAAAACAATAGGAGAAAAACAAAACAATCAGGCCCAGAAAATGGAAATGATCATTAATTGCATTTATACAGCACTTCACATTCCAAAGGATTCCCCTTGGCAAGCATACAGGAGGGGAGGTATTGCTTTCACCATTGAAATGTGGTGTTTTACACTTAAAACAAATGCAATATCACAGTTTTACAATTTTACTTACAGTAACAGCCTTACAGTCTTCCTAACCCTAGTTCAACCCAAACCTCAACTCTCAGCTTAACACTTTCTCAACACTTTTGTTGAGGTTCATCCAAAAATACTTTCTAGAGTACAAAATACCAATGGACAAAAAAAACATGTATTCAAAATGGTCTTAAATTACCTTAGGATATCCTGGAGAATAATATTACAGAAATGTGATCAATATTAACATTGAGTGCATTTAAGGGTTCAAATGCTATATGGCACTGGTTTAGGCCTGATGATTTGCTTGGGTTTCTGCTCAAGATTGTTCATATGATATTTGTTTCACACCACGTAGTACACAGTAGGAATAAACTAACAATATATTTTAGGCTTATCCTTGTGTAGAATGCAGGGCCGGATGCAGATGCTCATCCAGAAGGCTGATTTAAGAAAGGTTTTGGAAACCAGAAATTGTAAAAGAGGTACTGTAGGGGGGGGCCTGTTTTCACATTCACACTGAGGTATGCAAGAGCAAGAGCACAATGCCAGCTAGTATAGCACAGCAACGTTGTAACAAGTGGAGAGTAAAGGCCAGAGAGGAATGGTGCCGTACATGTGTAATGCAAGTGTGTAGAAACCATGAAAGAGCTGACTGAATACACAACACTTAAGGCAAAACCAAGTCAAAATTGTACCAGCAGTTTGCAAATGGAACTTGGTGAACATTTCAAGAAGTGTTCCTTTGACAGGGGAGGGCTCAATATATGCAAAAGATTATTCTATGAAATTTGCCATCTAAAACCAAACGACTGGGGATGGAAGTCATGAGTAGTGGTGGGCAGGAATATGTTTTAAATTCAAGTTGTGCTGAAGTTCACAAACTTGCATCTTGTCTGAGGACTCCACAGCATGGGGCATCTGCCCTTCAGCTAAAAAGCTTTTCTGAACTGTTGGAAGAAAGCAGAATACAAGAACAACACTGGCACACACTCTCCAGGTATTTGTGCATTTAGTAACACAAAAAATCCTTTCACTCTGCAAGGTGACCTACAGTAACTGGATGGAAGCTCAGGCTGATGAAGGATGTGTGGACAGGCAGACAGGTGGGACCGTTCCCTCTAAATCAAAAGCTCCAAACAAAAACTCCAGTTTAGGAAAGGGGACACTATACTGTAGAAGATGCCATTCTGGAGTAGATTTTACACAGAGGACCTGACCACTTCAAGACCTGAGTCATTACAGATTCCAATTGTGCTGTTTGCAAAATGCCGGGCCTGGTGGACTGGCTGAATTCCACAAACGTTACAGTATAAACTACCTAAACATCTCAACACATCTCTTTCTGATCTTCTGTTTCTATGAAAATTGACATCTAAAAACCCAATCAGAAAATTATTGAGCATCTAGTTTAGATGGGCCGGCATGCAGGAATGGAGATTTTTACAAAGTGATTCACCTTCAAAACATAAAGTCGCCCCTGTATAGGACAGTGTTCAGTGCCATTCAGCTGTGAGGAGCCATCATTATTGCCATTGCAGTGTGTTTACTGGATGGGTCCAAATCACAGTGACCTTAAAGTGTCAGATGTTTTAAATCCCATAAAAGCCTTCGACAAAGACATATCATCAAGTAAAAACCCATACTCATTCCAAGCTTTTTTTGCTTTCTCGGTATTTCAGCTGAAGTTAATATCTTCATTCAGTAGCTATTGAAAACCATTGTTATATTGTATGTTAACAGCCGACAGTATTTCACAGATCCTGGTGGCCAGTATTCAGGCACCCCAGGACTCTCTCTGACTCACAGCATTGCTCTACGGACAATGTTTGCCTTTCACTCTCCTACTGTACATCTACAGCGAACCATAAAAGGTGAAAACTAACAGGGTTTCTAGAACAAAAAGAAAAAAATGACAAATGACGTGTTTACAAAGAACACTAAACATTGCACACTAAAAGGTCTCAGCATGAGCCACGCTTTTGTAAACTGATTATAATCAATGTTTAGCAGAATTACAGAAGCAGTTGGAGCTAGGACAGTTACTCAAACCTGCACAGTGTCTCTTAGCAAGGCGTCTGCATGGTTGCTTTTGAGTTATTCTGGGTAATTAATAAAAATCAAATTGTAATAACCTATAACACACTGCTTTTACACCTCTTTGCATGTTTGAAGCAGAAATGGTGCACTACTGTTAAATCTCACTCCCTTCAGGGATGCATGAATTCAAAACACATCACTTCCAACTGTCTGCCTCAAAAGCTGCAATTCACCGCCAGCACCTCACCACGCTGCCCGACTGTAGAAGTGTTTTTTTTTTCTCATATTTTCATGTTTTTGCTCTGAATCCTTGAGCTACAATCGTGATTCCATTCTCCTCTTGTGGAGAAATGGGTGCTGCTCTTCAGCTGGTGATGAAGTGGGATCTCTGCTATGTGTAAAGACCTTTACAAACGTTGTTGTTGTTACGGTATCTTGCTTGCACAGCCATTGGCTGTGGCATCACTCCTTATTTCCATACACAGTGTTGCAGCTCCTGCATCACTCTGCGTGTTGCACTGTGGAAGTTACCGTCATCTGCAAAACTGTGATGCTTCACTGACCACATGGGGATTTATGTACAGTAAGTTATCTCAGATAAAGGA